AGACCAATCAACACAAGATGGATGATGTGGTCAGCATCACACCGGCCGCCTTTACTTCCCGGGACTGCACCCGGTACCCACTCAAGGCTGGGTCGACCTGGGAGTCAAGGTCATTTTTGGAAAAAAAAAAGTCCGGTTTCGTCAGGGAGCTAACCCACGATCTTCCGATCCGCACGCGAGCGATACAGAAAAATAGGTCATATTTAATGGAGATAAAAACAGTCTAATGCAGACGTTCTGAGGGGACTACACATGAGAAGAGAGTTGCTGGAAGGAATTTAAAAAAAAAAAAAGACACACTGGGACACTTTAGCCGCTTTAAAAGACATAACACGCTCTTGAAGACCATACTGGAGGGAAAGGTCGAAGGCAGAAAAGCAAGAGGTGGGCAACGATACAAGTGGGAGGACAGTATCAAGGGATGGACGGGCAGCAGTCTGAGTAAGTGCACAACCAGGGTAAGAGTTAGCGCGTGTTGGGGATCCATTGCAGCCAACCTTCACTGTGGAGACGGCACCTGATTGATTGATCGATCGCTCTGAACTAGTGTCATTACTTCAGTAGTATAGGATCCACGTTCCGCCCCATGACAGACAAATGCCTCTATATTTTTTCTGTCTTCTCCTGGCTCACTCATTGTCTGTGTACTGGTGTTATTTGCACAATTTCACAAACAAATCAGGGATCTCGTCGCCGTGTCTACAACAGCTTCCTGCCCTTGTTTATCATCCCCCAGAATCTCTGGCCCCATTTCGGCTGCCTGCTGTTCGTCTGCCTGTCCTTTTATCGACCTTCTCTGACTGTTGATGGAGTCAGCTGTTTGCACTGGCACGGTGGCGAATGGCAGCGAGAAACAGCTGGGGGGGGGGGGAGAGAAGGGAGGAATGTGCGTCACATATGAGATGGAATTAGATACGCCACTGAACAATGTAGAGGCATTTCAGATAAATACCGTAGATTTTCAAAGACAGTAAATCGTTTTCAAAGTTGAGAAAGAGTAACGGGACAGAGGTGGAACATCTAAGAGTGTGGGTTCTATCCCAGTATCTTTCCCCCAAACAATTTTAACATTTTAAGGAGTAGTTAGGCTGCATGCAGTCGTGGGACGGGACTTAGGCTGCACTCTCTCGGTGGACGTAGGTGGGTTGGGGTTAGACCAAGTCCAGATCTTTTGAGGCAGTTAGAAGCATCAGAAGGCCGAGAAACCCACTCCTTCCACCCTCAAAATATTGGACTGTCCTGTGACGTCATCCTGGGGAAGAAGAGAAAAAAAAAGGGGGTCGGAAGAGGGGTGGATGTTGGGAAATCACCAGAGTGTGTTTGTGCAGACATCTTTCTTTATATAAACGATTGTCCGTCAGTTCGCTGTCCGTTGCTGATGCCCTCAGCCAAATCTTGGGGTTTCTCTACATCTTCACATGAATGTTCTCTCCTAAGCTGTTTTGTCTCCTTCTCTTTATTTTAGGATAAATAATCTTTCTTTGATGTGATCTCTCTCTCTCTCTCTCTCTCTCTCTCTCTCTCTCTCTCTCTCTCTCTCTCTCTCTCTCTCTCTCTCAGTGTTTGTATGTATGTATGTGTGTGTGTGTGTGTGTCTCTTCCTGTCTGTCCATCCGGTCGTCCATCCATCCATCAATTTATCTGTCTGTGCTTTTGTGTTGTTTCCTTAATATTCATATTATGCACATTGTTATACGCACAGATATACTTCATTGATAACATATAATCGCTATGTAAAAGATGCAATGTAAGACTGTCTGACTGACTTTCGACCCCACCAGGACATGACACAATGTGCCACCATGTGGATGAGGATCACCCATGGAGAGGTCCCAGAAACCGCGTTCAGCCATTTGGCCATATTTATGGTCGGGCTATATTGCGGCCCCTAGCAAAAGCCAGAGTAGGGCTTCAAATAACGACAAATTGCATCCTGAAAAGGAAGAAGGGGCAACCCTGATCATCTCCTACCGTGTCTTTGAGGGTTTTATTTGTTGATACTTCCGCATATTTTTTTTAGATGATAACAGATAACAGAAGCTGTCGGTTAGCGCGCGCGCACACACACACACACACACACACACGCATGCACACACACACACACACACACACACACACACTTGCTAATACCTTTTTTGCTGACATTTGTCCCTGGACTGCTTGTTGTGTCCCTTGTTTTGTAGCCGCGTTTGGCGCTTTTACTCGCTCAGTCAACACACACGGATGTGACCTCTAACCTTGGATGCCAGCGGATTGACAAATGTCCCTGCAAGATGCACAAATGGATGTCCAGTTGGCACGAGCTGGCCATTCTTGTGCGCTCAGCCGTGTGTTAGCTCTAATCGATGTCAGAGATGCTGGGGATGCCGACGGAATGCAACCAGCAAAAACCAAAACTCCGTGTGCTAATTAGGTTTCTGCCGTGGCTTTTTTGTGTCCCCCGCGAGGACAGATGCAATTTTCCTTGCCTCAAAGAAATGCGCAATCTGAAGAATGTTCTGCGGTGAGGGTGAGATGTGATGTTGATTTGATGTGTGCGGTTCAGTACTGGTAAAAGGGTGTTGTCTTTTGTGTGTGTCGCGATGCGTGTTGTTGCTGTTGGTGCGAGGTGGGGGAGATGGCCATTTGATGCATGTGGGATGTATGCGCCTTCTTATGTTGCAGTGAGGTGGGGAGATGCTCATCTCATGCTTGCAGCATGTATATGTGTGCTCTAGCCTGACGTGCTAGAGATTGTCATTTAAAGCTTGCGGGATATTTGCTTACTGTAGGAGTGGAGCGAGGAGAAGGTCATGTAATGCTTGTAGGATTGTATGCTTACTGTTGGAGTGGAGCGAGGAGAAGGTCATGTAATGCATGTAGGATGTATGCTTACTGTTGGAGTGGAGCGAGGAGAAGGTCATGTAATGCTTGTAGGATATATGCATACTGTTGGAGTGGAGCGAGGAGAAGGTCATGTAATGCTTGTATGATGTATGCTTACTGTTGGAGTGGAGCGAGGAGAAGGTCATGTAATGCTTGTAGGATATATGCATACTGTTGGAGTGGAGCGAGGAGAAGGTCATGTAATGCTTGTAGGGTTTATGCTTACTGTTGGAGTGGAGCGAGGAGAAGGTCATGTAATGCTTGTAGGATGTATGCTTACTGTTGGAGTGGAGCGAGGAGAAGGTCATTTAATGCTTGTATGATATATGCATACTGTTGGAGTGGAGCGAGGAGAAGGTCATGTAATGCTTGTAGGATATATGCATACTGTTGGAGTGGAGCGAGGAGAAGGTCATGTAATGCTTGTAGGATATATGCATACTGTTGGAGTGGAGCGAGAAGATGATCATATAATGCTTGTGTCGTGCAATCTTACTGTTGGAGTGGAGCGAGGATAAGGTCATATAATGCTTGTAGGATGTATACTTACTGTTGGAGTGAAGGAGGGAGATGGTCTCTTATGCTTGCGGGAGGAATGCTTACTGTTGGAGTAAAGGAATGAGATGGTCTCTCATGCTTGCGGGATGTATATGTGTGCGTTGGCGTCAGATGGTAGTGATGGTCATGTAATGCTTGTGTGATGAATGCTTACAAGTAAAGGGGGGAGATGGTTTCTATTGCTTATGGGTTGTGTGAATGTGTGCACAACTCTCTCTCTCTCTCTCTCTCTCTCTCTCTCTCTCTCTCTCTCTCTCTCTCTCTCTCTCTCTCTCTCTCTCTCTCTCTCTCTCTCTCTCTTTGTGTGTGTGTGTGTGTGTGTATGTCTGTGTCTGTGTGCTTCCTTACTGTTGTAGTGAAGTGCGGAGAAAGTGTCTCATTCTTGTATGGGGTTTACGTGTGTGTATATGTGTGATTTCTTACTGTTTAAAATGATGTGAGAAAATGGTTTCTGATGTTTATTAGATTATATATATATATATTGGAGGAAAGTGGAAAGATGGCATACAATGCTTGTCGGATGTGTTTGTGTATGTGTGTCTGATTTCTTATGTGTGATGTGTCTGATTTCTTGGTGAAAATATCGCAAAAGCTTCCGGTAATGTGCGTGCGTCGTGTGTGTGTGTGTGTGCGCTTGTGTGTGTTTGTGTTGTTTTTTAATTTTTTATTGTCAGCCTCGACTTGCATGCTAGCGATATTTACACAGGCCTGCAAAAGTTAGCATTTCCTTAGCTCTGGCCTTGATTGGAGGGATTGGCTTACAGGGTACTACATCCGTCTCTGACTTAAATAAACAAGGACAATAATTAACATTCTGTACAACGTGAGGTGTTTCGAGGATAAAGACGACATTTTATACGGGTCAGTGTCAGTTTAAAGAAAATAACGTTCATGATTTCCTTTTTTTTTTTAACCAAAAGCCTGTTTTTTGAGGTTAGTCATGTAATTGTGCGGCATTTCGAGCTGTGTTTTTCATGTGGAATACCTTTCATTCGTGCAGCGTTTTTTGTCGGGGTCTTCAGTATGGCGAGTAGCCGGTTTACATGTAGGCTGGCGAAATACCTTATGTAGTAGTTTTGCGTATGTATGACCAACTTATGGTGACTGACTGCTTCTGTCAATGACAGGCTGCTTTTTTGATGGCCACTATTGGCTTTGCCGCCTCCGGCAACTGCTTTGTGCATTCACTGCCTGCGCATGTTACTTGATTGTTCCGGGACTAATTGTTTGTTAACCAGTTTTTCAAATGCGACAGTAAGAGACATTACATTTGATTTTCACTGGCACAGGAACAGAGCAAGTAGGGGGTGACCCGATTGCAGTGAAGTTGAAACTTCGACTACTACAACCACCACCACAACTACCACCGCCACCGCCGCTAATCCTGTACTTGTATAGATCAGCCGACACTAGATGTATGATGTAGTTTGTAACCTGCTGTTCTACTTACATCTATGAATAAATGAGGCATTTGGGGTGAGTGGGAAGGATCCTTCCCTACATACTCCATGCTTGTAGTCTTTATTATTACTAATACAGGTTGACCGATTAATTGATTGATTGATTGATTGTTTCAGGTGTATGAACGGATGAATGTCTGTGATGCCCTGACCACGCAGAAGTTTAATGATGGAGATAAGATTATATCTCAGGTAAGTTGCCTTGCCATCTATCTGTCTATCTCTCCCTCTCTTTTTCTCTCCCTCTCTCTCTCTCTCTCTCTCTCTATCTCTCTATCTTTGTCTCTCTCTTGGTCTCTTTCTCTCTGTCTTTCTTTCTCTCTTTCTTTCTTTATCTCTGCCTTTCTCCTTTTTGCTCTCTCTCTCTCTCTCTTTCTCTCTCTTTATATCTCTCTCCTGTTTCACATCTCTGTCTTTTCCCTCAAACTATCCTATTCTCCCATCTCTCTTCCTCTTGTATACACTGGCTGCACCTCTTTCTTCCTCTCTCTTCCTTTTCTCTAGTCTGAAGCGTATAATTTTAGCTCCAAATTACGTATTTCAGTTCTAATGTTATTTCAGTTCTAATGTTATTTCAGTTCTAATGTTATTTCAGTTCTAATGTTATTTCAGTTCTAATGTTGTTTCAGTTCTAATGTTGTTTCAGTTCTAATGTTGTTTCAGTTCTAATGTTGTTTCAGTTCTAATGTTGTTTCAGTTTTAATGTTGTTTCAGTTTTAATGTTGTTTCAGTTCTAATGTTGTTTCAGTTTTAATGTTGTTTCAGTTCTAATGTTATTTCAGTTCTAACTTACGTCAGGGAGTGTTCGAGATCCACTAAAGGCATAAAGCCTAAGTTAGGTGCATTCAAAACCAAATGCCTGAGGAAGATGTCGAACATAAAATGGGACGAATTCAAGAAGTGTGCAGAAATAAGTGAAATATTTACGCAACCATTAGTATCAACAGTTATTTATTAGACAGAGAAGACGGCACTATATTGGACACACTCTGAGAGGTTTGAAGTTTGTACAACGGATCAACATCATGGAACACGAGTAGTAGCCCATAAATGCTCCGTTCTTCTTCTAACTCAAGTCTGGGTCCGAAGAAGCTCAGCACTGTCACTGGCTCTGTATTACCGGTGAGGATCCTGAAATACTTTGGGTAGATTTTAAACTCCAAATTTTGCCCGGGCAGCGCCATTAGTCTACTCTTTTCGATTTCCAACTGCCAAGGGCAAAATTTTGATTTAAAAATCTACCCAAAAAAGTATTTCAGAATCCTCACCAGTGCGACGGAGTTCGTGCACTGCGCTGAGATTCTTAAGGTTTGAGTTAGAAATAGAACGAGTCACTTATGGTTTACACCCGTGTGCCATGATGTTGATCCGTCGACTAAACTAATATAATGGTACAGGACAATGACTGTAACCTTTCCCCCTGGTGGGCATCAACTGTAGTGTGAAAAAACTGGCAGGTTGTTACTTTGGTTGTGGGTTATTACCAATGACCCGCATTAGCTTATTGTTATCCAGTCTCTTATTTACTGCTTACTCTGCGATTGGGCTGTCTCCGTGGCGAGGTGGTCAAGTCGTTTGCCTCGCGCGCTGAAGGTCATGGGTTTATTTCACGGCTGCATCGTTTAGTTCAAAGAGTGCAGTTTCTCCGTCGCCGGAGCTACGGAGTTGAGGCTCTGCGTGATGCCGAGCTATTTGGGATACAACCCAGTCCAGGGAATTCGATCCTCTCGACTTTAACCTTTAACCTCTATGAGTGGGTTCTAGGCCCCAAGGGTTAAAACTTCTATATTCATAAATTAAGTTCTGGATTCATGGATTTACTTCTATTTTTTAAAGGATTAAATTAGATATTCATGGATTAACTTCTATATTCATGGATTAACTTTTATATTCATGGATTAACTTCTGTTTTTATAAGAATAAATTAAATATTCATGTATTAACTTCTATTTTCATGGATTTACTTATGTTTTTATAGGATTAAATTAGATATTCATGGATTAACTTCTAAATTCATGGATTAACTTTTATATTCATGGATTAACTTCTGTTTTTATAAGAATAAATTAGATATTCATGTATTAACTTCTATATTAAGGGATTAACTTATGTTTTTATAGGATTAAATTAGATATTCATGGATTAATTTTTATATTCGTGGATTAACTTCTATATTTATGGATTAACTTCTGTTTTTATAGGAATAAATTAAATAATCTTGGTTTAAATTCTGTATTCATGGATTAACTTCTATATTCATGGATTAACTTCTGTTTTTATAGGAATAAATTAGATATTCATAGATTCACTTCTATATTCATTTGTTTTCAGGGTGACAAAGCTGAATGCATGTACTTTGTGGAGGAGGGCCAGGTGCGGGTAGCCATGCTCAACAGGGTATGTAGCCACTTGTTCGTCTGATCTCATATGACTTCAGTATCTAAAATTGTCTTGCTGTGAATGTATCATATGACCCCAGTATTTGGTTGTCTTGCTGTGAATGCCTAAATGTACGCCCTGACACCTCAGCCCTACTATTTTGTGGTCTCACGTGTGTGTGTGTGTACCAGTGGTTTCTGATTGTGTAGATTATACATACACCCCTGTCTCCCACTATACTGTCATGTGATCCTCACATACTCCATATGTGTGTACCAGTGGTTTCTATATGTGTAGATTACACACACATACTCACACCTCAGTCTATACTATTATGTGATCCTCACATACTCGCATATGTGTGTACCAATGGTTTCTATATGTGTGGATTACACGCACGCACGCACACACACACCCTCAACCTATACTGTCATGTGATCCTCACATAATCGCGTATGTGTGTACCAATGGTTTCTATATGTGTGGATTACACACGCGCACACACACACCCTCAACCTATACTGTCATGTGATCCTCACATACTCGCGTATGTGTGTACCAGTGGTTTCTATATGTGTGGATTACACACACACACATCTCACCTTATACTGTCAAGTGATCCTCACATATGTGTGTACCCGTAGTCTCTCTGTGTGTGGGTTACACACAAGCCTCATCTCCACTATTTTGTGATTCTCAAAAATGTATGTTTTATTGGTACTATATGTGTGAATTATACACCCCTGACACCCGACCCTTAATGACCTATATATGGGATGATGATCCCGTACAATCTCAATCTTATGAACTCACATATGTATGTACCAGTGGTGTCTATGTGTGGATTATATATACACACTTCACCCCAGACCTGTATGTATTGATGACCCCCTACCATCACAGTCTTAAAACGCCACACACACACACATACACACACACACACACACCTCACCCTGACCCCAAAGGACCTATAGATGTGTTAATGATGCCCTACCATCACATATGTTTGTACCAGTGGTTTCTATATGTGTTGATTAGCATGCTCTGTTGCAGTGTCCAAGTGGCCAAAGCTGACTTGATGTTTTTGTTGAGATCTGTGTGCTGTTTATCAGACTGTACTTTGTATCATAGTGACATTCGTGCCTGCTTCTTGTGGTTGCTTTTTCTGTCTTTTGTCCGTCTTGTTTGCTGTCGTACTGTTTGCAACATCAGCAGCAAGGGTGACAGTTGTCTGGTTTGAAGCTGGATGTGTAAAGAAACATCAGAGAAGGAATAACACTTCCTATTGTCATTTTGAAACATCAGAGAAGGATTTAAAACTTCCTATTGTCATTTTGAAACATCAGAGAAGGAATAACACTTCCTATTGTCATTTTGAAACATCAAAGAAGTAATAACACTTCCTATTGTCATCTTGAAACATCAGAGAAGGACCTACCATCACATATGTTTGTACCAGTGGTGTCTATATGTGTAAATTATATATATATATACACACACACATACGTTCACCCTAACACTTCCTATTGTCATTTTGAAACATCAGAGAAGGATTTAAAACTTCCTATTGTCATTTTGAAACATCAAAGAAGGAATAACACTTCCTATTGTCATTTTGAAACATCAGAGAAGGATTTAAAACTTCCTATTGTCATTTTGAAACATCAAAGAAGGAATAACACTTCCTATTGTCATCTTGAAACATCAGAGAAGGATTTAAAACTTCCTATTGTCATTTTGAAACATCAAAGAAGGAATAACACTTCCTATTGTCATTTTGAAACATCAGAGAAGGATTTAAAACTTCCTATTGTCATTTTGAAACATCAAAGAAGGAATAACACTTCCTATTGTCATCTTGAAACATCAGTGAAGGAATAACACTTCCTATTGTCATTGTGAAACATCAAAGAAGGAATAACACTTCCTATTGTCATTGTGAAACATCAAAGAAGGAATAACACTTCCTATTGTCATCTTGAAACATCAGTGAAGGAATAACACTTCCTATTGTCATCTTGAAACATCAGTGAAGGAATAACACTTCCTATTGTCATCTTGAAACATCAGTGAAGGAATAACACTTCCTATTGTCATCTTGAAACATCAGTGAAGGAATAACACTTCCTATTGTCATTTTGAAACATCAAAGAAGAAATAACACTTCCTATTGTCATCTTGAAACATCAGCAGGGATGACACTTTTTTTTCTTCTAAACGACGGTTTTCAGGTCGACCCTGCCTGGAGTGGGTGCCTGGAAAGTAAAGGCGACCGACGTGATGCTAACCACATCACCCACCAAGAGCCGGTTGGTGTATAAAATATAGATCTGGCTGTGTATGCCTGAAGGCGTGGGAAAAGGGTCCTTTACTTTGACTATAACTACTGTTGTCCCTTCTCTCGGACATAGATGCACACACACCTCACCTACAGACTCTGGTACAATAAGCAAAACAAGATGAGAGAGATTCAGTTGTTATTAAGAGAGATCAAGTTCCTGACACGAACTTCACAAAGATATGATTAACCTAATTATCCGTGTGGATAAACTCGCATGTGTCAATCAATACCGGGTCATTGAACCAGGCACCTTAAAAAACATTTTATTTCTCTTGTACACGTGGCTTTTTCGGAAGGAGCAGTTTGTTGTTGTTTTGATAATTCTGTGGGAAGAAGCAAGATATTCACCACCTGCAGTAGCTGGAGACTGCCCCGGGAGAAGGATCGTGTGTTTTAAATGGCGCGCTCGACACTGCTGGTGACCTCTGTAAAATATAGCAGCGAAGTCGCGCGTTTCTGGCTATGGCAGCTTAAGTAGGTTAAAGAGTTACTGGTTGAAATGGGTTTATGATGTTACCACCAGTAATGTCCCACTTGTCATCACTAGTCTTATGTTTTGTCAGTCGTCACCAAAAATGGGTTGAATTCGTCAGCGGCAGTAAAGAGTTTCTGAGGGTAATCACCCCTAATGATAGAGTGGGTTACTACCTTTAATGATAGAGTGGGTCATCGCCAGAAATGGGTTTAATTTATCAGCATCAGTAAAGAGTTTTGAGGGTCACTGCCCATATTGATAGAGTGGGTCAACACCAGTAATAGTGGGTCATCACCAGTAATGAGTTTCACTGGTCAGCAGTAGAACTGGGTTCACAGTGTGATCACCAGTAATGAGTTTCCCGGATCACCAGTGGAAATGGGTCACCAGTGGAAATGAGTTTCAAGGTGTCATCACCAGTAATGCATTTCACGGGTTACCACCAGTAAAAGGTGTTGTGGGTTATGACTATTAATGGATGTCATGGCTGATCATATCAGGATTAAGGGATCACCACTAATTATGGGGTATAATTTATGGATTTCGCATGCCCCAACCAATAATGGTTTTAACAGGTCGTACATTCTGGGTTTAACTTCCTGGCACCAATAATTGATTTAACGCAGAGCTTTCCAAACTGTGGATAAGGATGACAAACTTTTTGAGACAGGCGTAATTCGGTCTGCTAAAAAACTAGATATTAAACTTACTCGTTATAAGAGGCGACAGCGTTTGTGGCTTAGGCATTGCGAACGCGTTTCATAATGCTAGGATGCCGGCTACTTAAAGTAAATTTGCCTAGAAAAACCACAACAGCCAAACAACGATAGGGTTGGTTCTGCAACGTCCTGTAAAGGATACACAGTTAATGTTTGTTTAAATAAGAGATACGGACGCACACATAAATTGTGTAGCACATTACATCGGCAGTGCGCTCAGAATGGATAAGACCAGACTCCCCAATCAATCCCTCATATGAACACTGGAAGGGAAAAGACAACGTGGAAAACCAAGAGAGACCATGCGTAGAATCATCATCAGGGAAAGCTCAGCCATGGGCCTAATGAACATCAATGACATAAAACAGGTGGCAACGAACCTCCAGACATAGAGAGCTATCTCTGCCCTATGAGCCGCTCAAGGCGAAAGACTCACTAATTACGTTCGTGCGACAGACCGCACGCTGCAGCCGGCACTAGTAGTACATTTTACCCCACCAGGACGTCACACAAGCGATAAACACCCGATGACACAAAGTGCCACCATGTGGATGAGGATCACCCATGGAGAGGTCCCGGAAACCACGTTCAGCCTTTAGACCATATTTATGGCCGGGCTATATTGCGACCCCTGGCAAGAGCCAGGGTGGGGCTTCAGAATAACAAAAAATTGCATCGCACTGGGGGATGACAGGTTAACATACAGCTGGCATTCCGATTCCTTTTGAGAGAAAAAATTAAAAGTTCGACCACCTTCAGACTGCTGCTAGCAAGCCGAGGCTGCTAACAGTCCCCGCCTATGTTTGTGGTCTGGTTTATTTGCGTCGCTTTCGTGACTACAGTTTTAGTATTTGCGCCGTATATGGGCTTGGTGCCTCCTTCCTTTGGGTAAGACTAAACATTCCTAGACATAAGGCTAGTTGCAGAACCAACCCCAGCAGCCCCTGGCTGTTGTGTGGTTTCTCTAGGCAAATTTACGTCCAGTAGTTTGCCATTGCATTGGACGGTCGGCTCCCTGATACAACTGTCAAAACCAACGCAAGGCGCATGGCCCGCAGCTGGGATCGAACCCGGCACCCCGGCATTATGTTGCGTTCGCATCGACTTAGCCACAGAGCCGATTTCCTAGACATACACTTATAAAATATCTGGTTGAATGGGTCGCGAATTGCGGATTTAATATTTTGTTTATAAGGACTCCATCTTGCGATGTCCGTGGCTTAGGCGTTGCAAGTCCGACTCGTAATCCAACGTACCGCAATCGAAACCCACTGCTGGCTGCGTGGATTATCATGTTTTGGGGCGTCGCAGGTCGACTCTGCCTAAAATGGGTACCAGGATGGCTGGGGAAGTAAAGACGGCCGGCGAAATGCTGACCACATTACTCATCCAGTGCTGATTCGTCTGTAAAAATATGGGACTCTCTTCCCATACACCCGATGCGCCTAAGGCGTGAAAAGGAATCTTTACTTTGTTTCTTTATAAGGACTCCATCGGGTCACTAGCAGAGTCAAAACTATTTGGGTAAATAGAACAGGGACAATGGGTATATGACCGCCAATCATTGGCAGGTTTTGGAATGTGATCTGTACACGTCACGCATGCTCTTGTTTCCACTGTTTAAGTGTTCAAACCTCATATGCTATTTCCCTTTCAGAATTCACAGGTAAGATTTCGTGGACTAACACAATTTTTTTAAACCACTAACTAACTCCGTGTATATTTTTAATTTTTCTTTCTTTTTTGAGACTCTTGTATTGTGTATTTGCATTTTGGGCTTTGATTGATGTTTACTCAGTATTGTAACCTGGCTGCAGTACGTTTGTTGAGTTTGTTGACTTTCAAGGTGAAGCGGGAACATGTTTGTGCATTTGTAAAGTGTTTGAATGTTGGTTTGACAGTTGCTGGGTCAATGTGTTTAAAGAAGGGTTTGCACGAGAGATATAACTCTGGCAAGTTTGCAGCATGAACTCTTGTATGATTTTTTTTTATCAGGCATGGCACGACTTAAAATTAGGCTAAATGTTAGACGTCACTGTGTTGGGCTGCCTACGACATAACCTTGAAAGGAAGGCGATATAAACCATAGCCTTTATGGTATTTGATAAATCATGTGTGATGTCACATATGTGGGCGGATTAAAAGCATGGTATGAGGCCTGCATGTTTTATAAGGCCGCACTAAAGACGGTGCATGCGGTGCTTTGTTGTTATTTTTATAATAAATTAATAATTAATCATCTTATATAATTCATTTGTAGCTTTCTTTCTAACTTTTTCTTTCTCTCTTTCCCCTACCTTTCTGTCTACCTCTCTCTCTCTCCCTCCCCTGTCAGTTATCTGTCTTTCTCTTTGCCTTCTTTTCTTTCTCTGTTTCCCCCACCTCTGTCTCTCTCTCTCTCCTCCCCCCTCTGTCTGTTTTTCTCTCTCCTTCCACCTCTGTCTGTCCCTCCCTCCCCGTCTGTCTGTCTGTCTGTCTGTCTGTCTGTCTGTCCTTTTCCTTTTCTCTCTTCCCGCCCTTTCTCTGTATCTGTTTTTCTGACTCTCTCTCCTCGTTCTGTCTCTCTTTCTTCTCCTCATATCTCTCTTTCTCCTCCTCCTTTCTCTCTCCTCGTTCTGTCTCTCTCCTCCCGCCTCTCTCTCTCTCTCTCTCTCTCTCTCTCTCTCTCTCTCTCTCTCTCTCGCTCTCTCTTTGTTTATATTTATTTACATATATATATATATATAAATATATCTGGAACATAGTATGCGTTTTGGTTAAAACACAGTCACCTTCTGGAATAGTCTGGTAGAGCCCAATGTCAGACAGGCCTGCGCGCCAGTTTCTGTTTGTCTGTCTAGCCACCAGTCAAATGTGTGTGTCCCTCTGGCCAGTTTGTTTGCTCACTTTCCGTCTATGTGTCCCTTTATCCGCATTATCTATCTATCTATCTATCTATCTATCTATCTATCTATCTATCTATCTATCTATCTATCTATCTATCTATCTATCTATCTATCTATCTATCTATCTATCTATCTATCTATCTATCTGTCTGTCTGTCTGTCTGTCTGTCTGTCTGTCTGTCTGTCTGTCTGTCTGTCTGTCTGTCTGTCTGTCTGTCTGTCTGTCTGTCTGTCTGTCTGTCTGTCTGTCTGTCTGTCTGTCTGTCTGTCTCTCTCTCTCTCTCTCTCTCTTGTCTGTCTGTCTGTCTCTCTCTCTCTCTCTCTCTCTCTCTCTCTCTCTCTCTCTCTCTCTCTCTCTCTCTCTCTCTCTCTATCAGACGCACGGACCCATGTATATTTGGTCTACTGCAGTTACAGGAAGCACACACACACACACAGACATATTCTGCATTTCAGAAAATGAAAAATATCTTATGCAATAAATCGCTCTCATTTAATATCAGAAATAGAATGCTAAATGTTTTATATATATATGATTAATTGATTGAAATCCTTCCGTGCTTTCCAGACGATAGTGTTATATTGCGCTATTAGGCACGGGACTCACAGCCCATGGCGATGGAGAGTGCAAAGCCTGGGCAGTATTGTAGAGACCCCATGTTGTCCATGCATCATTATCCCTCCTTCGTCCTGCCTTGTTTACTTCAAAGGAAAGGTATCACCAGTACGTTCGGAACAAAGCAGGCTGCAGAGGCTGCCGTTTTAGGAGAGCAGTGCTCTGTCTGTCCGCCTGTCGGAGCTTCCCTCCCAGACCAACTGCCAGCCAAGGCGAAGGGCCTGGTCTACCATACCATAAAGTTTTTCAGGTGCATTTCCTCTTCCTAGGTAGGATAAGGCTAGTATCCTCCCCAATGCGCTCCTCTGCCCGAAGCCGTTGGCACAATATGGGATGTTGAATTAGTATACGCTGCCCAACATTTGGAGTAACAGAAGACAGGTGGTCCCGGCTACTGTTACACGGTAGCTCAGTCATATCTGACCAAGACCTGACAATCATATATATATATATATATATATATATATATATATATATATATATATCTATATATATATATATATATATATATATATATCTTCGTGTGTGTGTGTGTGTGTGTGTGTGTGTGTGTGTTGTGTGTGTGGGTGGGTGGGTGGGTGGGTGGGTGGGTGTGTGGGATGTCAAAAAAATTATGTAAATGTACCCTTTTCAACAACAAACAATTCCTGGCTTTCCTGATGTCACATTAGAATCTTTTATATACCGAACGTAAGGTAATATATCACAGTTGTTTCTCTACATTGCAAAGATTCAATTTTGACACCCTTCCTGACACGGCAGACATATAGTCGATAGGCGAACAGAAGTATAAAGAATACTTAGCTACTAAACAATTCAACACAGATTTTCGAGGAATAAGAAAGACGTTTTCGAAAGGCTTGCTTGTATCTTTATGTATGTATATACCCCTTTTAATATCAGGGTGCCTCATAAGTGTCCATACATCGGGAAATCAACAAATCACCATTAAAACATAACTCCACCTGTGCTTATACGCATTCTTCAGAATAGTGAAGGACACACATCAGAATGTGTTTTTAAAACTGTGGTAGTCTTAAATGTCACATTATGTAAATAGAAATGGTTATCGTTTTAAAAAAAAGTTGTATTTTCTAGGTATCCCACACAAAAAAAGTTAGTTGCGTATCCTTTACAGGACGTCGCAGAATCAACCCTAACAGCCCCTGGCTGTTGTGTGGTTTCTCTTGGCAAATTTACGTCCAGTAGTTTGCCATTGCATCTGGACGGTCGGCTTTCTTGATAACACTGTCGAAACCAACGCAGGGCGCATTGCCCGCAACTGGGATCGAACCCGGCATCCCGGCATTTCGAAGCGAAGCGTTCGCATCGACTTAGCCACAGAGCCGACAGGTATCCAAAACGTATGTAATTAAAGATCCCCATGCCGCGCCTTTAGGTGTATGGGGCATATAGGGCTAGACCTATACTGTTATAGACCAATCAGCATATGATGGGTGGTGTGGTCAGCATCACGTTAGCCGCCTTTACTTCCCGGGACTGCACCCGGTACCCACTCGAAGCTGAGTCGACCTGGGAGTCAAAGTCATTAAAAAAAAAAAACAGCCCGATACCACCAGGGAGCGAATCCACGACCTTCCGATCCGCACGCGAGCGTCTAGCCGCTACGCCACGGGGACTTCCCGTGAGGCACACCATATACTTCTCATAGATTGTGTACAAACAATGTCGGTCTGATCTTTACTACAAGCAGCCTATTCTCGACTTCCCATTAAAGATAGGCTCCAGGCGGCGCTGTTACGTTTTTTTCAACGTGCCGTAGCACTGTCTGGTGTGCTCTGTGTATCTGGTTGCGTCTATGGCGTATGGATTCTGAACGTAGCTTTATGGTTCTAACATACCTGAGTTGAAAGTCAGCTACATTCGTGTTGGTTGCATCGATTTTGACAACTGTTTGAACGTGGTACCATTTACAAAAGAATGGCAAACTAATGGACGTAAAATATCCTGATAAAGCCATAAACAGCCAGTAAACGCGGTCTTGGTCTGTCATGGGCTAAAGAAATTATGCAACTTTGCTTTGTGTATTCTAACTAAGAGATGAACTTAATGACCCACCCCCCCCCCCCCCCCCCCCCCCCCCCCCCCCCCCCGAAAAAAAACTGCCAATTACTGCCTTCATATACCACTTTTTTGTGGTGGGTTATGGGTGGTCTTTAAGAACCTAATAACGCTCATCAGATAGCCACATTGCGCTTAATAAGAGAACAAAGCATTCGTATGAATTGCTTTTTTGTATGTGTGGACCAAAAAGGCTTTTGATATCGTCGACGGGGAATCTCTTTGAAAATGGATGTGGCATCATGGGATTAGATGGAGGATTGTTCATATAATAAATGCAGCAAATAAACACGTGAAATGCATAGTTGTTCATCGGGTATAACGGACAGATACGTTTGAAGTAAGAACAGACATCTGACCAAAGATGTTCAATCACCGCCCATTCTAATTGTGTAGATTGGATTCCTCTTCTTCTTAGTCTATCTACAACGTTCTGTCACGTGTACTTTCAGTCAACTCTGACACAGATGATCCTCCATGCCATGATATTACACTGTCCAGCGTCTTTTCTGCTTGTCCCCCTCTGCCTCTCTTCCAACTTTCCTACTGTCACGATGTACTCCAGATTTCCAGTTTTCTTTTTCTCTTCACACGAACAAAGAATGTAGATTGTCTGTTTCTGTTTGTTCTCTTCGTTCAGTCAGTTTTTTTCAAGACTTCATTATTCTCTTTAATTGTCTAGGGTATTCTTCTCATCATTCGTCTATAAAACCTCATCTCTATTGCTTCCAAATAAGTTTTTCTAATGTGCCCATTGTTCATGATTTACATCTATATATCAATATAAGATTTATGTAGCTTTTAAGAATTCTTCTTTCTCGTTTCCGTTGACAAAGAAAGCTTTCATAAAATATTCATTTTGTAAAATGCTGGCTTTGCTTGAGCTATTCTACATTTAACTTCTTTAATACCTCTTCCATATGATCAGGGTACCCAAGTACACGGATCGAAAAAGGACGTGTGTTCGGGTCCTGACATTATGGCATTAACTGCCAGATCATGGAAATTAAAGGCGGCCGGCATCACCAACCAAGTACCGTTTGGTCTATAAAATATAGGTCTAATCCTTATATGCCAATTACG